CGGCTACTTGGCGCCACTGCCCGCCGTGGCCGCCCTGCCCTTTGCCGCCTCGCTCCCTGCCACGGCCGCCGGCTACCAGGGTCTGTTGGCTCCGCCGCTCCGCACCCCGCGCGCCTACCTGAGCCTGAACGAGGTCACCCCACACCTCCACCTGCCCCGGGACCCTCTGGCCCTCAAGCGCTTCTCGGCCACTGCGGCCGCGGCACCGGATTTCCAGCCGCTGCTGGACAACGGCTAGCCATGCATCGAGGTGGAGTGCGGCGCCAACCGCGCTCTGCTCTACGTGCACAAACTCTGCCAGGGCAGCAAGGGGCCGTCCATCCGCCACCGCGGCGAGTGGCTCACCCCCAACGAGTTCCAGTTCGTCAGCGGCCGCGAGACGGCCAAGGACTGGAAGCGCAGCATCCGCCACAAAGGTGCGCCCGCAGGGGGGACACGGGCCGCCCCGGGGCCTGACCTCCGCTCCCCGAGGATCCGTGGGTCCGGACCCCACTCATCCGCCATCTGGGGAAACTCCGTCACCGCCCAGAGAGGGCGCTGTGGCCCCGGGGCTGCCGCAGGGACACTCCTCCCCCGACCCCCACCCCTCGCTTTGCACAGTCTCCTCTGTGGACCCGGGCAGAGCGTCCTCGGCCTCCTCCGTTCGCCCGGCTCCCGCTGCGCCCTAGCCCGCCGCTCCTGACGCTCCGGGGGTCTCGGCAGGATCGCCGGGCCTCGGGACGCAGGGAAGTTACGGGAACTCGGGAGAGCAGGCGGGAGGAGGGCTGGGCAGGATACTCGCCCTCCCCGGACCCCGGGGACCCCGGAGCCACGGGTTCTGGCGGGAGTGGAGGGAACACGTGCGGCCGAGGTGTGGGTGCGAGCTGCTGGAGAGAAGGCGAGGCGTAGGGTTGGAGCGGGCAGGTGGGGGCCGCGGGGCCGCGCGTCGGGTCCGGGGCGCGCGCGGAGCCGGAGCGGCGTCAAAGCTGGGAGCAGCCTGTTGGGCTCCCGCCGAGCGGGCAGCCAGAAGTGAGGTGAGAGGGGGTGGGGGGAGTTGGAAAGTTAGGGACCCAGTAGCGTTCGACTTTGGGGTTCGAGAGTCCACAGTAGCCCCCCTCTTCCCGCTACGGGGTCAGGCGCAGCCCAGGTCCTGACTGTGCCCTCCTGGGGTCCCGCAGCCCGGCTCGGAGAGGGTGAAGCGGGAGGAGGGGCGCCCTCGGTCGGGGAGGGCGCTCGCCCGGGTCTTCAGTTTCTGAGCTCTGGAAATCCCCGCGGGACCCACGAGGATGGGTGGGCGGCAGGGCTGGTGGTGGGTTTGGAAGCTGGACTGAGGTGGGTGTGCATATTCGTGCCGGGAGGGGGCCCCAGCCCTGCTGCTGACTGCACCCCGGAAGTGCCGCCCACGCCCTCACCGGCCCTGCCTGCCTCTCCTCACAGGGAAGAGTCTGAAGACGCTGATGTCCAAGGGGATTCTGCAGGTGCACCCGCCAATCTGCGACTGTCCGGGCTGTCGGATCTCCTCCCCGGTGGTGAGATGGGGAGGAAGTTGGGCTACGGGGTCCTTCTTTCTTTCCGGGGGAGCATGTGCTTATTTTGTAGGATCCAGAATCCTAACCTCAACTCTGCCAGTGTGCAGGAGGGAGCCCCCCGGGCAAATCGGGGCGACATTGCTTGGGGTGGGAATCCCGGGCACCTGGAGCCCCCGCCCCTTTGGATCCTGCCTCTCCTGAAGCTTTTCTTTGGGGGTCTTGGAGCTGCTGCTCCCAAGTCCTGAGGACACTCGGGCTGTGAAGTTCCCTCTCCGGAGAGTCTTCCAACTGGCTTGGAGATCTTGCCCTCAGCAGTCTGGGGGGTCACCATGTCACCTGGCCAGCTTGGAAGAGGAGTTGGTCCTTGGTGATGCTCGTTCTGGGGTGTGACAGTGTTGGCCAGCCGACGTGTGTCTGGGGTGGTTATAGGCTTGGATGTGAATGATGTGCCTCTTTGGGCACCCACAGCTGGAGCCCTGCAGAGCAAGACCTTGGTGTGCAAGACTGCCTAGGGCAGCTCGGTGCTGTGTGGGCCTTCGGTAACCAGAACTGAGGCTGGTTGGAGGCCGGTGTGGGGCCCCCAGCCCAGTGTAGACATGGCCTAGGGCAGCTCGGTGCGTGTGGGCCTTCGGTAACCAGAACTGAGGCTGGTTGGAGGCTGGTGTGGGGCCCCCAGCCCAGGGTAGACATGGCCTAGGGGAGCCGCACAAAAGGTGCTGTGCCTGCCCCAGCACATGTCCTCCAGGCAGCAGCGGGTGGAGGGCTGGTCTGGAAAGGAAATTGCATCTCAAGAAGGACCAGTTTTGAGCCCCTGGGGAGAGCCGGTTAGAGGCCTGGCTGCGCGGTGGGTGGCTGTGCTGCTCTGACTGGCACCACCCAGCAGCCCCTCTCGCAGGAAGGGTGGAGAGGGCCCAGGGTCCCTGGCCTTTACCTTCGGCACAGCTGTCGGTTGGGGGAGGGAGGAGAGGTCCTGGGTTCTTCCTGGGCCCTGGCGGCAGGGAATCTGGAGAAACTAGGAAGTCACAGACACGACTGTGAAGACAGACGCCAGGTCAGACGCACAGGCTGGGCAGGGGGGGGGGGGGGGGCTCGCTGCATCTGCATGTCCACCGCACACGGTCTGACACGAGCTCATCACCCACGGGCACGCCCACACAACAGACAGGGGTGCACAGGTACCCCACCTCCTGCCATGGCCTCCGGACCTCCTGGGGCCAGAGACCAAGCTCGAGCTCCACTTCTGCACCCTCTCAAGCAGCTGGTGCAGAGGAGGGGTCCTCGCCTCCTCGCCAGCCTGGAGTTTCTGTTCAGGTGGGAGGAGCCCTGCCTTCCCACAGGAGTGGGGGGGCAGGTGGCCTGAGCCCAGGACCAGTTCCTTATGGCCGTGGCTTGGATGGTGGTTCGGACAGGGATGGGGACACAGTTTAGGGCTGCCTGCCTGTCCAGGGCTCCCAGGTTCCTGCTTTGCATGAGCGATGGCTCAGACCTGGGCTTGCCCCTCCCGAGCCTGGTCCCTCCTAGGGCTGGCCCTGTACCCTGCCCTTAAGGAGCCCCATGGGATCCCTGTCTTTCCAGCCCCCACTTTTGCACACAGACTGGCTTCCCCCACAGCCAGCTCCACAGGTGTACGTACCCCGCAGTCACAGATACTCAAGGGGCAGAATTTGGGTCTGTGGCGCAGGGACCATGCAGCCACACGAGCGGCCATACTTGATCCCCGGGGAGCCGGTATTTGGCTGGGGGAGGAGGCTCGGCACCCAGTTTTCAAATCTGTGCTGCTAAGCGGGGATGAGTGGCTGAGGTTTCCAGTGTGCGTGGAAGGCATGCATGTCCCCTGTCCTTGGCCGGGGTCAGGGCTGCCCATCCTGTTTCTGTCTCTGAGCCCCCCTCCCGTGGGAGCACCCACAGGAGCCACCCTAAGCCAGCAGAGCTGGTCTGGCCTCATGGCAAGCAGTCGTCCTAACCTGCCACTTCCCTCTCCTCTTCCCTGTCCTACGGGTGAGAAGCAGAGGGCACGCCTTTCCTTTCCTTGGGTGGGTTTGATTCAGCAGGAAAGGCGGTCCTGGTGCCTGGCCTGCAGCAGGCTAGAGAAGGGCAGAGCTGAGCAGGACCTCCCAGCAGGGTTGCACTCCAGATAGGCGGGGACCTGTTCCAAACTCCCAAGCCCACTGACGGGCACGTGCAGGTCTGGGGACCAGACAGTGGTCACCTGTGCAGCCTCACTCATGCTCTGCTGTTGCTGGTGACGAGCTGGGCCGGGGTTAGGGTCAGAGAGGGGCCATGGAGCAAGCCCTGTCTTGCAGGCTATTCACAGACTGACCCCCCGACCCCAACCCTGTGCCGGACCCTGGCTGCCCAGTCTGTCTCACTGAGTGCTGCAGAGGAGCCTGGAGGGTAGACTCCTGAGGGCCGGTGTGGAGGCGACCAGGGTGCCTGGGGGTGCGGGTGCCATGTGTCTGGAGGTGATGGTGGACTACAGAGAACCTTTACTCTGAGGACAGGACTGATGGCTGCAGAGCTGGTCCAGGAGCGGCCAGGAACCCCTGACACTTTGTTCCTCAAGCTCAGGGGTGGGGTGGGGATGCCTTGTCCTGGCAGAAGGAAGGAGGTCAAAGGAGGCCCCTGGGACTGAAAAGATGAGAGAGAATTAGATAATCCCAAGACCCCTGCTGCCTCCCTGAGCCAGTAACCTGTTACTAAATAAGAGAAAGCTCCCCGCCCACCAGAAAACCATCGCTGCCTTTTCTTCTTCCCCTGGGGTGGCGGGACCTGAGCACACTGGACAGTGCCGTGTGTGTAGGGAGCTCGCCAGCGTGTGTGCACCAGCTCTAAGCGTGCATTAGTCTGTGTGAGTGCCCTGTGCGTCTGCATTCCGGCTCAGGCACCTCAGCTCTGTGCCATGAGCCCTACCTGGTCATGGTGGGCGCAGGGGTGGGGCTCAGGGGCCTTGTGGAAAACTGGATCTCCCGGGACCCCTGGGCTCACAGTGCTGGGCTGGCCAAGTGATCTGTGAACCCCAGGCCTGCGATTTGCAAGGGCTTCAGACCCCGTGGGACCTGGGCTCTGCATGGCTTGGGCTCCGTTGGGGGTTCATAGAGTCTGAGTAGGGTTACCAGGCAGACACGCACGCACACATGGAGGGCACTGCATGTCAAAAGAGCCACAGGACGCAGAGCGGCTGTGGTGCAGACAGATGACCCCTCTGGGTTCGGAGGCACTGGGGAAGCCACGTCTGCCTTCAGGTGGCATCTCACACTCAGGCTGATGGCCGGGACGGCTGGGCTGGAGTGTGCAGTCTGGACAAGGCAGTGCCCAGAGCAGCCTGGCCAGGGCCACCCCTGAGCCTCAGCCCTGGCCGGGGTGGAAGGGCATCCATGGAAGGGCTCTGCCTGAGGCCTTGTCTCCCTGCTCTTGGCCTCTGGTCAGTTGTGGCCTTTGCCAACCCTGGGGCCTGTCCTGGAGGCTGGTGGCTCCCTTCTTGGCCAGGGCAGCGGGGAACACGTGCTGCTGACTGTGAGGCTCTGTCACCTGGGCCTGCCTGGGGGTCGGGCTGTGGTGCAGCCCCCAGAGGGCCGAGGGGCTAACCTTCCTCTGTTCCCTCTCTGCCCAGAACCGGGGGCGATTGGCAGACAAGAGGACAGTCGCTCTGCCTCCTGCTCGGGTCTTGAAGAAAGAACTGACCCCCAGCTTCATAGCCAGTGATGGCGACAGCGACGGGAGCGGGCCAGCCTGCGGGCAGCGGCCTGGCTTGAAGCAGGAGGACGACACACACATCCGGATCATGAAGAGAAGGTACTTTCCCAGGGCGAGGGCATGGAGGGCATATGGGCTCAGGTGTCAGATGGGACTTCAAGACAGGTCTGCAGGCAGCTGGAGGCAGGTCCAGACCTGGAGGGGAGTCCTTTGCCTTCGGGACTGGGCCCGGGTTTAGCTTGTTGTGCCTCAGCTCAAACATGCCAGTCCCTCCATCTCATGGGACCACAGTGAGAGCCCACCTTGCCCCAGGTGGGGCAAAGGGCCAAGCCAGGACTGGATCAGCATTGTTGGGGAGCGGGCACAACAATGGGCTGAGGAAGGAAGGGGGACTCTGCCCAAGGGCTCCGGGGGACAGGGAGACCCGGGCAGGGTTTGGGAAGGGGTGCCTGGTCCCACCACAGCCAGGCGAGGGGTGGGGAGTGGGTGGACCCTCCCTTGGGCAGCCCCTATGTACTTGTGCTCATGTGCCTTGGCAGGTGGTGGCTCTGCTGGGTCCTCACTGTCCCATCCCAGGCTTGGGGCCACTCTTCCTGATTTCCCACCTCTCCCCTCAACGGCAGAGGAACCTCCCTCTGGCCACTGACTTCTCTGTCCATCCATCCAGAATTTCTAGGCCTCTTCCCACCTAGTCTTCCAGCACTTTCCAATGTCTCCTACCCTAGTAACCCTCTCGGACCGCAGGACCCCACTGCCAAGCCCACACCCACACCTGGGGAGGTGAAGCACCACAGGCTTCCCCTGCCTCCTCGGCCCGTGGTCTTTCCAGGGGCACTGCTGTGGTGGAGGACCCGGGCACGGGGCAGAGCCGGGCATGGGGCAGAGCCGGGCACGGGGCAGAGCTGTTTCCTGCCTGACCTCTGGTCCTGGCATCCCCGCTGCCTCCGTAGTGCAGTGGTCACTTTTGGGAAGGCAGTTGGCAACAGCTGGGACCCCGCGGCCTATACGTGGGCTGACACCCAGCCATTGGCACCGGTGGCAGTTGCGGGCTCATTCCTGGCTTGGTTCCAGCCCAGCTGGGGTAGCTCTGGCCACTAGGAGTTTGGGTTTGGTCACATGAGTGACATGCAGAAGGAGCTGCAGCCCCCCCCCGCCCCCCCCAGCACTACGTTCAGCTCCTCGCGGTCACAGCAGAGACGGTGCCTCAGCTCCGTGCTTCCCGCCTCCTGGAGGCAGCCCTCGCAGTTGAACTGGTTCCGGGTGGCGTTGGAGACAGGCCTGAGCCAGCGCAGTTCCTCAGGGGGTGCTGGGGGCAGATGAGGGACGTGCCACACACCCGTCTGCTGTCCAGCTGCCATCCTAGAGGCCGTGCTGACTCGCCTTCTTTCCTCCCAGGGTCCACACCCACTGGGATGTGAACATCTCCTTCCGAGAGACGTCCTGCAGGTGAGGTCGGGCCTGGGTCAGGCTTTCTCCCACACTGTGTGTGTCTGCTTCTAGATCTCTCCGGCAGCCTCCTTCCTCCCCTCCTTCATCTGCGGTCTGTCTGTCGACTTGTCCCTGGGCCTTGGCAGCACAACTCTGGAGCCAGAGTCCCCCTCCCACATGGGACTGGCCATTTGAGCCCATTTGCCCAAAGATGAGGCCATAGCCGCCCCCTCCCACCCTCCCAAAGACCCACCAGGAGGTGAGAACGGTGACGTGTGAGTGGGATCTTGAAGGCAGCGTAGGAGTTCCCTAGGGAAAGGGGATGTCTGCAAAGACATGGAGAAATGAGGGGAGGGGATGCGGGAGGGGAGGAGGTCCCCAGTCAGCAAGTCTAGCTCGATCAGATGTTAAAGAGCCTTGGACGCTAGGCCTCTTGGGTGTTGTCCTCCAGGCAGTGGGGAGCCACCGAAAGTTCTTGAGCTGGAAGAGTGACCAGGTGTATGTTTCGAAAGGTCCTCTTGAGGCCCTGCCCAGCAGGTGGGGGTTTGCTGAGTCCACAGTGATTCAGGCTGTGGAGACAGGAGGGAGGGAGATCACAGTGAGGGGACCTGAGAGGAGGTTGGGGGCATTAGGGGACCCAAGTTTCTGGCTCCCGGGGGCACGGGGAGGTCAGTCTGCGGGTGGAGCCCAGGCCGTACTCTCTGGTCAGTGGGGTCAAGTCTTCTCCTCCTTATGGGGCGGCCGCAGGAAGGGCAGCGGGCAGTGAGCATCAGGTCTGGCCGAGCTGCCTCGGCGGGGCCCCCGGGTGGAGCTGGTCCTGCCCACTCCCAGCCTGGCTCCGAGGTCTAGATCTGGAGCCGAATTACAATGAAAACATCTTCAAACTTATTTCTACCTCATTTTGAAGTTGCCCGCTGAGCTGGTCCTTCTTATAAACCATCGTGAACAGTGATGACATCTTATGAGTCTTGTCCTGGGAAGCTACAGGGTAAATTTACTCGCAAAGCTGGTAGGAACCCAGGAGCTGCTGCTCCTCTCCAGGCCGACTCTCCCTGCAGGCCCCCCACCCTCACCCCCACCTACCCGGCCTTGGGAAGTGGGAGAGGGTCCCCCTGCTCAGACAGGCGGCAGAAGCAGCTAGGATCATTTCCTGCCTTTTGCCAGAGGAGGGGTGGGGGGTGGGGGCCAAGGGGACTTTCAGCCCCTCCATGCAGCACCCAGCCCAGCTGCCTCACACTGCCTACCCTCTGTCTTTGTTGCTGTCGCTCCTTTTGGCTTTGTCCCTCTGTCCTTCTGTCTCTAGTCTCCTGTCTGTCTGTCAGACTCTGTCCATCTGTCCAGTCATGCCTGTTTGTCTGCCATCATCACTCTCTATCCTTCTCCATCTGTCTGTTCGTCTGGCTCCATCATCCATCTTCATCTGCCTGTCCATCGTCTGTCTGTCCATCCCGTCCTTCTGTCCATCTGACCCTGAAGTGGATGGGTCTGAGCACTGGGCAGCAGGCAGATGTGGTCCCTGCCCTGTCAGAACCCCTGAACTGGCCAGGAGGTGGGAAAGGACTGGGCAGTGTGATGGTCGCTGAGGGAACCTTTCAGGCCCCTCTTCCTTCCCCCAGCGCACCCTCCTCCACTCAGCCCCCCAGGGAGCCTCAGAGCCCCCTACAAATTGCAAGTAACAAATAGCAGGTGAGAGGGTGTTTTCATGGCTCAAGAATCGCATGCTGGAGGCCCGGGGAGGATTCACCTATCGTCAGTCAGTGTGTGCAAAGTTTCTTTGTCGTGTGATTTGTTCAGTGAGTGACCAGAACAGATTTCCCAGGGCAGGAACAGGCTGTCTTGGGGTGAACTCCCAAAGCAAAGAGCGGGGTGTCCTGGTTCCCACTGGGCATCACCCCCAAGGAGCTGCCCCACCCTCGAGTGCCCGAATGACCTGTGCATGGAAGAGCTGATGGCTGCAGTGGGGGCCTGTTCTCACATGTCAGTCACCTTCTGCAGGAGCCCTGGGGACCTGGGGCAGCATTGGCCCCGCCTCTAGGCCCCACCCCACCCTGGTGCTGAGACAGCAGCTCATCTCCTACCCCCCTCCAGTTGATGAGGATGGGTGAGGGGGTGGATTAGTTTCTAATTAGTCCCCTAAAGTACCTGCTCCCACCCCACCTGCCCTCCTGTCTGCAGGGGAGGCCACCTTCTCTCCTGAGGGTGGGGTGGGAGGGAGCCCAGCCCTGGCGTCTTTGGTGCTGAAACTGATCTGCTTAGGGGACAGCCCTGGATAAGCCGCCCAGCCACCCAGGCCAGGGCGCAGGCTATTTAATGAGGCTTAGGGTCGGTTCCAGGTCACTCCATGGAGGTCCCCCTGCAGTGGCCCTGCCAGGAGGCTGCTCTGTTACAGGTGGGCCAGGGAGCAAGGGTGCTGGGGTGGGGGGGGGCAGTCCCTCCCTGCTTCTCCTCTGTCCTGCCCCGACTGTGTCTGCAAGGTGGCATCACTAATGGAGTGGGGTGCCATCTCTACGAGTCGCACTGGGGTTTCTTCACTCCCTCTTCTCTCTGGGGTTCTGTAATGTAGGATTGAGGAACAGAAGTGAGAGAACAAAAGTTACCTACATGCTTACCCTAAGCCCACTCCCCCCTCCCCAAGGCCTGGCTGAGGTCCTGCTGGGAGCCTGGAGGCGAGCAGGCTCCCGCCATGCCTGTGTCCATGTTCGCAGGTCCGCAGGGCTGTGGCCCCATGAGTGTGCCTGTGCCTGTGTCCATGTCCGCAGGTCCGCAGGGCTGTGCCCCATGAGTGTGCCTGTGCCTGTGTCCATGTTCGCAGGTCCGCAGGGCTGTGGCCCCATGAGTGTGCATGTGCCTGTGTGTCATGGATGTCCGTCTCCAGTCCGGAGCTGGCCTTTGGTCTGACCCTTGGTTTCCTTAGTTGAAGAAATCGGGGGTCCATGGCTGGTTGCAAGTTTTAGTTGAAATAGTGTGGGCAGCGTTCTCCCCGAAGCAGCCAAGGCTGCACACACGTGACAGTGTGTGCCCGGGCTCGCCGGGGGCAGGCATACTGCCTGGTGGGTGCCTGGCTGCCTTCCCAGCAGGGGGCATGGACACAGCCCTGGTCACTGGAGAGAGCATGGCAAGGCTGCGCCAGCCCAGCTCTGCACAGACCCTCCCCGGAGCTGCTGCGGGGTCTGTGTGCAAGTTCCCCTGCCCAGCAGACCCTTGGCAGGTGCTAGCTGTCTGAGGTTGGTCCTGCTACGGGGATGCTCACACACGTGGGGTCACGGCCACCCCCGGAGGTGGGCAGAAGGCATGGCCGCACTCAGATGCTGTCCCCTGGTGCCGTACACGCCCACACTCAAGCTTGGTCTGGCACCCTGCCTCATGGGTCCCACCTTCCCCATCTCGCCTTGCTGCAGCCAGGAGAGCGACCTTCCCACCCTCCTCTCCAGCCTGCATCGCGGCAGCCACCTCGTTATGCCTGAGCATCAGAGCCGCTGTGACTTCCAGAGCAGCAGCGTGGAGCTAGGCCTGGGTGGTCCAGGTGAGGAGGCTGGGAGTCCAGGGGCCGGGAGGGGGCTGCAGGGCCACAGCAGCTTAGCCTGAGGACAGCCCTTGCCGCTACCCCCCCAGTGTTTTCTTAGTGGCCGGAATGCCCCCCCCCCCAGCACCCTTGCAAGGCACCCAGGGGGGCCAGGGGGGGGGGAGGGGGGTGGGGGGCCTGGCTTTCCCCGGGGGCTGCATGGGATGGTAATTGTGTTAATCCCGGCCACCAGGGGGGGGGGGGGGGGGCGGCGCGGAGGCCGTGGCTCCATGGTGGCTGCTGCTGCGGTGGGCTTGGAGTAGCGAGGCCTCTGTCACCCCTGCTCACAGGGGCAGACGGAGGCAAGGACGGTCAGGGATGTGCAGGCCTCACGGAGGCTCAGAAAGGCACACCTCCACATGACATGCACCGAGCACCCTCCAGCCCCACAGCTCACGGGGCCCCAGGAGGGAAGGGTCCCTCACTGAGAGCAGGGAGACTGGGTAGGAAGGTGCCGGCCCAGGAGCTCTGGGATCACCTCGGAGGGGCTGCAGCTGACGAGGGTGGGCTGTGGGCCGGGCAAGGAGCTGGCAGGGTCCCTGGCTGTCCTAGGAGCCCTGGGCAGGGAATTTTCCAGCAGTGGCTGCAGTTCTCAGGGAGGCTGGGCAGGGGGTGCCAGCATCCTGGGCCCCTGAGGGTCCCCTGAGTGCCCTCCCCCGGGCTCCCCCACATGCCTGTGCCTGGGAAGGCCCTGGGGTGGGGGCTGCTTCTGGAGCCGCGCTGGAGGCTGCTGAGCAGGCGGCTGATAAAATCTAATTGCCGCATCGATTGGCAGAGCCTCCGGAGCCCCGTGATGATTGAGATATTCTGAGCCAGCGGGCCCTCCCTGGACAGCGGGGCGCCTGCACCACACGTGTGCCCAGCCCCAGCCGGGCGGTGCTGGGGGCCCTGCGTGCCTGGGTCAGGGTGTCCTCACCCCCACTTTGTGCCGAGGTCACCCCTGCTCTGCAGGAAGTGCCACCTGTGCACTGGGCCCAGGTTTCACCAGTCTCGGCCTCTCCTCAGGGCTGTAGTGCCCTTTGCCTCCCTGTGTTCCTGTGGCCCTGCCGTGGGGTCACCTGCCTGTCTTCACCTGCCCTTCCCCAGAAGCCACCTGCTAATCCTGTCCCCACAGCCCCAGCCCCTCCCTGGCTCCTGAGTGGGAAGGTCAGGAGGACTGGGGGGGGGGCTGGTGGGGGGGGGCGGCACCTTGTGGTTGGCTGCCTGCTTCTGGATCCAGGCTGTGTCCCTGCGTAAATGTGGCCCTTATCGCGGACTAGTCACCTGACCCCCTGGCAGGACCTTATGCAGCCACCACACGGGGGACCCCTTCCCCCCATAGAAAGGGGTGGGGGTAGGGGGCTCCACTGTGGACAGTGGGAAGCAGGTCACAGGGAGGTGAGAGCCCTGGGTTATGTACGGGTCGGGGTGTGGACCCAGCCCTGGCATAGTCAGAAAGCAGCCCTCCTGCCTGGGACCCTGAGGCCAGCGGGCTGTCCACTGGACTTCTCTAGGGGCCTCATGCTGGCTGTGCCCCCATCCTGCCAGGCCCCTGAGATAGGGATGGGCAGGGCCTGGGTTGAGCCACGGGACGGGCCAGTGGCAGCAAGGTGGCCAAGATCAATAAGTTATTAGCACCATTCTGTCAGCTGTAAAGTGGAGATTGATCGCGCCGCACTTCCCGGGCTGATAAAAATGACAGATTAAGGGAATAAGGAAGAGGAATTAGGCTCTGGAGCTGATGGCAGTGCCCCTTTGCCGAGGTGTCCTGGTGGCCCCGGGTCACAGAGGGGGTGGCTCCTGCACCCCACCCCCCAGGCCTCCCTGAGCGGGAAGTGTGTGGGGCAGTCCTCACCCCGGTCCTGGGAGTGGCATCGGGAGCCTCTCCTCCCTCCGGCAGGGTGCTGAGCAGGCCTACATTTGCGCTGGACAACCTTCTGGCTGGGTGGGGGCAGCAGGGTGCCTGTGGGGTCCTGAGCTGCCCTGAGGCTGTTACCAGAAATCTGCCGTCACATCTACACACACACACACACACCCCCAGATCCCAGGGCCAGCACCGTCCTCTTGCTGAGGCCTGGGACTTGGCTAGGCAGGGCCTTCATGTGGCCAGGACCCACGGACACCCTGAGCAGTGATGGGTGTGGTTCTGGGCTGACCTGGGGCTGGGCAGGGACGGAGGCTGGAGTTAGTGAGCTGGGTTGTCCTCTCCCTCCCTGCTCCTCCCAATCTCCATCCCTCCAAACCCTCAGCCCGGCCCAGTGAGCCCAAGACCACGGGGGCTGAGGGCCAGACACATGGTGGGGCTCACTCTACCCTCCCCCAGGTGACCTGTTGGGCAAGAGGCTAGGCCGCTCCCCCCACGTCAGCACTGACTGCCCTTTGGAGAAGAAGGCTCGAAGCAAGTCCCCCCAAGGTGGGAGCCGATGTGGGGGTGGAGGGGGCAGGTGACAGGACGGGGAAGGTATAACAGACCCGAGACCCTCTGCAGGGTGGGGTCAGCCCAAGCTCTCCACCTGGGCGGTACCTGAAGGAGACCCCTCCCTGTATGCTCCCCACAAGCAGAGACTCTGTTGCTGTCAGAGCTGGGGCCCAGCATGGGCCCTGAGGATCACTACCGCCGGCTCATGTCCGCACTGAGTGAGGCCAGCACCTTTGAGGACCCGCAGCGTCTCTACCACCTGGGCCTCCCCAGCCATGGTATGTGCCCCTTACCAAGTGTCCACCTACCTGTGCTGGGCTCTCCCTGCCCCTGGAGGCTGATACTCGCCCTGAAAAGAAACCCTGGGGTCTTTTGCCGATAACAGGCTGTGTTGGGTGCAGGGCCCAGGCCCTGAGACCCCGGGCCCCCTTAAGTAAGCTCCCCTGGAGGTGGTAGAGGCTTGACTCTCCTTCCCTGTGCCCAAGGACCCCCACCACGGGTACCTGGTGG